ATATATATATATTTTGTTATATATATAATTAAATTTCATAGAATAATTTAATTATAATTAAATGATTAAAAATTAATTTGTTCACCACATGCCTTATGTTAAGGTAATACATTAATTGCATCGGAATCTTTAAAATTTGGATATGAAGCATTTGGATTTTAAACAAATTTTATTGCATAATCTAAATTTATGTGGCTTAACACCAGTATTCAGTAGGGAGGTCAAAGATATGGCATGGAATAGAGCTGGCTGGAAGAGATTGCATGAATTAGTTGAACAAGAGGAAACAGTTAAATAAGAAAAAAACACCAGTATGCGTTCTCCACTAATCAACCATTGAACAAATACATTTAATATATATTTTAAATTTATATATTTTAAATCTTTTCCAGATCACGTGAGCTACGTACAGACTAGCCGTGGTAGACTGCTGCGTTACAAAGGTTATACATTTCATTTGAAGTTGTACCACGAAGTAAAATGTACATGGCGATGTTCGCAATACATGACCGCGCGTTGTCGCGCCACGCTCATCACCGTCGATGATGAGTTCTTTCAAATGAAGAACGAACACACTCACCCGCCAACTGATATATATCACCATTTTAGTACAGATCATTAATAATGAAATGATAACATCCTAACTTTTAGGTGATAAAATTTTAACGTCCATAGTAGTATAAAATTCAAAGAAAAAGTAATATAATTCAAAAGTTTCCTGGAATTTGTTCTACAGAGGAATAACACCTGAGTCGTCAGGAATGGCAACGCATGAGAATGACATACTCTGCTATGTTCATGGTACTGATCATGTCTATAGGCGACGGTTACCACTTTCCATCAGAAGGTGGGCCTTCAACGTTACTGCCATTGTAAGTTTCATAAAAAAAATCTATAATAAGTTTACTATTGTAATCTTTTAAAGCAAACAATGAATAATATCTATTTATCTATAAATAATAATGCGTCGTATTAGCTGTCTGCGAATTGTCGTTGATGGTCAGCATCTATTATGGCCATGAAATAGTAAACAAATAAACAGATTTAGAGAAGTTTAGGTTTGTTTAAATTTAAAAAGGAAAGATAAAAGTTATTACACTGTGAAAGAGTTCCTAATAGATAAACTGTAGTTTATCTGTTGGGTTACTAATTTACATAAAATAAACCGATGAATATAGCTATCTCACACTGCTTCTTGAAGTCTATGTAAGTTTATTGTAAATACTTTATATTTATTTGTAAATATGTCATCTATAAAATTTACTTATAATTACTACAAACAAATAAATAAATAATTTTATCCTAAACAGTATGATTTTTATTCACCGTTTCTCAAATGATCATTTCTTAATAAAACACTCACATTCATTATTACTGCGATAAGGTACACACACAATTCATAAAATTTCCATTATACATAGGCATACATATACATGTACATATGCTTCCTTAAAAAGTGTTGTAAACATTTTTTGTAATAAGATGGTAACTTACCTAACCTAACCTAACTGGGCGGAAAGGGGGGAAAGGGATTGTTAGCAATGGAGTTTGACAGCCCCATTGTTAGCAATATGCCCTATCAGATCGACCTCCACGTGGTTCCCCCTGGAAACCATCGTGAACAATTCTTGTTGAATTCGTCACGATGGGCTAACTGACCTATTTCATCCTCACCTATCATCTTTCACTGGTGCCCCGCCGGTGTATACCGATAGCGTGGGTAGTGTTACCATTCCATTATCACCCATAAAAAAAACTGGGCCGGAAAGGAATTATTAGTAATGAGGTCTAATATCCCCATTTTTAGCAATATACCCTTTCAGGTCGACCTCACGCAGTTCCCCCTGGAAACCATCATGGTTAATTCTTGTCGAATTCATCATAGTGGGTCAACTGATCTGCATTCATTCTCATTTGTCATCTGTCACTAGTGCCTCGTCAGTGTATACCGATAGCACGGGCGGGGTTACCATTCCATTTTCACCAATGAAAAAAACTAACCTAACTATATAATCGACGAGGAGAAAGGAATTGTTACTCGTAGTAATGGGAATTATTAGTCCCACTGTATGCAATATACCCTCTCAGATCGACCTCCACGTGATTCCCCCTGGAAACCATCGTTCTGAATTTCAAGTATTTTCAACACGATAGGCTAACTGACCTGCCTTTTCATCCTCACCTATCATCATTTACTGGTGCCCCGCTATCGTATACCATTAACACAAACAGGTTTACCATTTTATTATCATCTATTAAAAAAACTATGTCATATTTTGTTTTAGCGGCAGTATACGTCGTATCGTCGAGGGGAGCTCGCATGATATCCTTGTCTGGATACCTGTACAGTCGGCACCGGGAGCAAGGACCCAAAACACGCTGGCACTGTCGTACTCATTTCAACCGAGGATGTCCAGCTGTCGTATTCACCATAGACAACATGATAATAAAATATAAAAATACACACACACATCCCTCGTGCGACTCTAATAAAACACACACAGTTTGGCAACCAAACTGTTGATTTAATGATATGTAGACGACATACTCCAAAATAATACCACTTCTATAGTTCCACTAGTGAATTTATATTTATTTTCATATTAAATTTATGGCTATTAAACATTACATCAAGAGATAAAAATATTAATATAATAATAAGCAACCTTAGATTATATAGATAGAACAGTGATTCTCAACCTTTTTTTTGTTGCGGCACATATTTAACGATTTCAAAATTTGGCGGCACACAAAGAAAAAGATAAAAACTATTTACTTACTACAACACACTGCATAAATAGTTTATGACAAAAATTTTAAATATTTGCAAAATTTGGCGGCACACTTTTAAAATTTGGCGGCACACAAAAGTGCCGCGGCACAGTGGTTGAGAATCACTGAGATAGAGTGTCTCCATACAAATGCTTCGAGAAAAGCGAGACAACTTTTTCATACAATTTTGCGTGATAAATAGTTATGAGTGTTTCCTTTATAACTTCTATATTTATTTTGTTTTATGATTTTTGCATCTTTTTAATGTGACAAAACTAACTTTATTTATTAGTTAATTAAATATAGATACGTCAAGATACATTGTGTGCGTAAATATATAGAACACTGATAAAAACGAGTCAGCTAATGTGATGATTAGCTGACAAAAAATTGGCCCGTTTTTGAAACTCGATACTCTATCTGTATAATTTGAAATAGCTCTGAAAATATTTAATTACAAAAAGTTATTATACACTACGGGAATTTTTCAATGAGAAAATTTAATTATATTTATACCTATTTGTTTCAATATAGTAATGTTTTATTTATTTTATGTTAATCGACGATACATATATATAATGTAAAAATTTTGTTATGTACTTTATTAAATATTTATTAATGTGATTGCTGTGCCCTTCCAGGGTTCATGTTGATTCTTTACTTTTAATAACTTAAGACCTATATTGTTACAACATGAAATAGCAATAAATGATTGAATTGAATTGAATCTAAGGGTATAATAAAAACAGTTTTTTTTTTTTTAATATACTATATGGCTTCTTTCTAGCCATTACCAATGTAATTATTGTTATGTGTAATAATGTATCTTTATGTGGTTGAATGGACATATTCGACTTTTATATTGCAATGATAGTCTTTAATTATTACTTGTAAATATGGAATAACTAATGTCACCAATGTATCTTTCTATAAAAGGGCAGTAGCCCATTTTTGCCATACTGGCTCATTGGCTAAGAGTAGCGTTTTATTTTGAATTTTTGTTCTCTTGAAATTATATAATATTCTTTGTTTTTATTGTCATTTCATTTACTATACCAAACATTACCAGGTCATTCTTATATATTGTAAATCAAGCAGTGTAAATAATAATGATAATTTGTTTAATTTTTTTTTCTATTAATACATACATCTTTGTTTAAATATGGTATCAGCTAGATTTTATCTGATGATCTTTAAAGTAGAAGTAGATAGTAAATCGCAACGAGAAGTCTCTTACGAAGTAGCCAAAAAGAAACAATAATCGTATTATTATTCCTGCATAGTACTGGATCGTGTGAGGCTGACGCCATCTGGTGTCAAGTTTCTATGGCATCTATTTGTCTTTAGGTCTTTATCAATTTTCTATTATTCGCCTATAGTATAAGTCACATGTAATGAACTAGCAATAACCCGCTTTTTTATGAATGATGGACAATAAAAATATAATATCTTATTGTTTTGTTAAAACCGAGTAGGATATTTACAAATATCTTTCAGTCGAATCGAATAAATGAATTAAAAGTTGATAGATACCTAATATAAAATATAAGAACACACTGCACTTACTCCAAATCGCAAGGGATATGTCACCCTAATATAGAAAGAAGAAGAAGAAGAAAGAAATGGGCGATAACTCATACTATCAGTTTGTTAAAGTCTTATTCTTCTTCCAGTGCCAGTATTTGCTTTAACATCGCGGGGAGCCCGTGTGATATCTATGTCTGGGTACCTCTACAGCCGGCATCGTGTGCGAGGATCCAAAACGCGCTGGTACTGCCGAACTCACTACAACCGTGGTTGTCCAGCTGTTGTGTTTACCATAGACAATGTGATAGTGCGAGTTAATAATACACACACTCATCCCCCTCACGACTCTAACAAACATGTTGTTTGGCCGCCACTACATTGTTAATTTATGTATTAATTATTGTTATGTATAATTATGGAATTTTCCAATGTTATGTTAATATTTATTTAAATTGTTTGTGATATGTTTCTGTGAATAGTAAAATGCTTTATTTATATACAGACTATAAATTGAGATATATACAAATGTATAAATTGGAATTGTCTTTAATTTTATTTTAAAGTAATCGGGGATTAGAAAATGACTGAAAACTATTATTATTTTTATGGATTACAGCCAAGATAAAGACGAGACAGGTGAGCACACTTTGTGGTTAATTGATTTTGAGAATGTATCTTGTAAAATCTATAAATAACGGAAGACGAGTGATAATTTTGTTTACAGTTTTGCGAAATATCTAAAATCATCAGTGATTTAACCATTTAAATCGCAGTATAAGTATATGAAGAATGGCTTGGCAGCATAAAAAAAAAATCAATAACTTAAGGACCTTGATTCCTTCATTACTGAAGGTATTAACATCGTCTGAAAGACACGCATTTTTTCGATCTTATTCTAAACTTTAAAGCTTGAACTGCAAAAATGAATTATCTATCATCAATTACTGTATTTTAAAATTATTCATTACTTTGTACAAATGTCGTCGTGCCTTTGTCCTAATTGTGTTTCTGGCATGGAGCAGTAGTGTTTTCAAGAATTGACTTCCAAGTGGAAGGCTGTGATATAGTAGTAATTTTATAGGATAAAGAGATATACCTTGTCTTCAGGTATGCTGTACCTGAAGGAAGGATACATGAGTAATACCATGAGAATCACAGTGTATTATATAATAATTATAATATTTATTGAATCCAAAAATACAAGTTACAATTTTTTATTTGTTCCCAATACTTCTCACTAGGATTCCCTGTATCGTAAAGTCATAGGCCCTTTTCTGCTTACAAATCTTATTAACTAATTTATAACTAAATTATGAGAAGTTCGTGGTGCTGTTCATGTGTACAGGCGACGGTTACCACGTTCCATCAGGCAAGCCGTCAGCTTCTTTGCCATTTTGCCATTCTATGTATCCTCAAAAAAATCTCCAATAAGTTTCTTTTTGTGGCGGTCTAAAGGAGCTAGAGCCTATCATTGCTACTTGGAAGAGCCATCCCAATAATGAAATTTATAATTTTGGGAAGAAACGTATTCTATTTTACTACGTTATTTCATACTTTATTTCATTTCAGATTTTTTCTGTACACCGAAGGTTATGTGCTTAAATGGATATACATTCTCTAGACACAGAACGAGAGGGCTGCGGACTCGTTGGCATTGTTCAAAGCAAAAACAAGGCTGTCGCGCCTCCGTCACTACGATTGAAGGCATGATAGTTCGCTGCACGAATGAACACACTCATTAAAATCCCTAAAATGGCTAATGCTTGTTATGAAATTTATTTATTTATTTTATTTTATTTATATGCATTTGTACATTCACTTATAGATATTAGGTTATAACAAAAGGTACACAGGCGGACTTATCCTTTAAAGGAATTTCTTCCAGTCACCCTCGAGAACCCGAAAGGAGAAAATATTTATATTTATTGTAGGATATTATATACTATAAAAAGCATAACATATAAGGTGCAAAATTAATATTTTCAATAATAAAGATATACACATGTATATTTGTATATAGTAGTATATATTTGTCTTTTTTTTAATGCCCTTTACCGAATGGTTGTTTGGAAAAAAATACTCAGAGATAAGGCCGCCTTTTGTACTACACTATACTTATTGAAAATCCTGTAATATTGTTCCAAACAAGTGTTGTGTAAATAAATAAAATAAAATTGTAAGCACACAGTTTATTTGATTGAAACAAAGATCAATCAATTAATTGAGATTATTTCTTTCTAACGATGATGTTAATTTAATTATTTTACAGTAACTGTTTACAATCAGACGGGATGTATGCTTGTTTGCTACCTTTGTGGTATAAAAGAGAAAAAAATATTATGGCAACTTCTGTGGTCACTCGTGAGCTATCTTATGAAAGTACAATTATCGTTGCAGTTTGAGGATTCCTAAACAAATCAGTCATTAATCCTAGTTCACATTGCATTAATAATTTAGTAGAAAGCCGAGTAATTTCTTAAAAAATTCTCCATATTCGACTATAATTAAATATGATATGGAAATGTAAGTAATTTAAACTTGATTTTGACCGAATGACTTGCGCAAGCGACGGTTACCACTTCCCATTGGGTGTGCCATTAGCTTGTTTTCCGTTCTAAGTTACATAACGAAAATTCTGATAACATATTTTTTTTCAGTGCCTATATTCACAACGTCGTCGCGAGGCGCCCGCATTATTATGCTGAAGGGATACAGGTTCTATAAGCAGCTAGAGATTGGGGGGAAGTCAAGGTGGTTCTGCGGCAGTCACAGCCGCCGTGGTTGCAAAGCAGTCATCAACACCATAGAGAATGATATAATTATCAGATGCAATAATATCCACAATCACCCACCTCCTTTTATGTGAACAATAGGGCTGGATAATATACAGCATTATCTATATATTTTAGTTACAATATCTACCATATATTTTGAATATTGAATTTGTGGGGGGAAGAGATTGTTAGTAATGCGGAATACCGGCCCCGTTGCAAGCAATATATCATACCAGGTCGACCCCCACGTGGTTCCCCCTGGAAACCATTGTGGTTAATTTTTGATAAATTCATCACTACGTGCAAACTGACCTGCTTTATCCTCACCTATCATTCATCAGTGGTGCCCCGCCAACGTATACCGATAGTGCAGACAGGGTTACCATTCCATTATCACCCATAAAAAATTCACACCATATCCCACCCTTCAAACCGAAACACAGCCATGCAAACACAACTGCTTCACGATAGTAACGTTTAAATGGTTGTACAAAAATTGCATAAATTAATACGAAGTGTGGCCTCCTCTGTTATGGAGAACTTGCTGGCACCGATTATTCATAGAATCGATGACACTGTTATTGTTATCCTGTGGCAATTGCTCACAATGAAATTTTAGTAAGTCCATCAGTTGTTGGGTTGTTGTCACTCCATCCAAGTCGTTTAAAACACGTCTCTGCAGCATGTCCCATGCATGCTCGATAGGAATGAGATCTAGCAAATGTGCAGGCCAAGGCAATACCAGGATGTTTTCCCTTGCCAAGTATACTCATAATAATGAGGAGGTATTCCGTATTAGTAAACAATCCCTTATTTGGGAGAAAGAGATTGCTAGTAATGGAGTTTAACAGCCCCATTACTAGTAATAAATCCTATCAAGTCAACCTCCATGCGAGTCCTTCTGGAAACCGTCGTGTTTAATTATTGTTAAATTAGTCACGAGGGGCCAACTAACCTGCTTTCATCATCACCTATCATTCACTGGTGTCACGCCAGCGTATACCGATAGCACAGGCGGGGTTACCATTTCATTTGCATCCATTAAGAAATGCCTTCTCTCTGAATTGTTAGCGTTAGATTCTGGTAAGATACTCATTTCTAGTTTAGTAGCGCTTGAAAAGATTTTTTGTATACCGTTCTAGAAAAACCTACTAATAACAAAAAACGTTTACACATTTTTTTTAATGTATTTTTGAAAGCACTTGTATGGCTTTTGTATTGTAATGTAAACCGTGAATTAAACTTATAAATTAATAATAATAGTAAATTTTATACTTTTTTTTTCTAACCCGTAGATTTGTTTGCGTGAATTGGAATAAAATGTATTGTATATCCTGTTACCGTGTGGTCTCATCATAGAATGGGGCACCCCTTCGTTTCCCATTGGTGTCGACTAAGGAAACTTAACCTTTCTTTGCATAATAGTGGAAATTTCCATCATAACATTGAATGCCCAAAAATTATATAAAAGAATAAGTTCACTTTAAATAGATCGTGTCTGGATAACATTTTAATACACATTGCAGAAAAAAAACATAGCTGTCAAATTTATTTTTTTAACCATTTTTCCTTTAATTTTGAACATGAATTATATCACCTTGATTTATTTCACCAATAAAAAAAATCATGCAAAGAAGGGTTAACGGTCGAGGAATTGGAAGTCTAACCACCATTGCCAACCCGCCTGCCAAGCATGGCAACTACCGGCAAACATCCCTTATGGGGGAGTCCTATATTCAGCAGTGGACAGTTAATAGCTGATAAGATGATTATGTCCTGTTCAGGATATGGTCCATTTGTGAGCTACAGTTTATCTTAATCCGTTCCCCTTATTAGGCTTAATGGATGTAACAACCCTATAAAAGTTAATTTTTTTTTTATTTTCCACTCATGATGAAGTAAGACTACAGTCGCAAATCCGGTCCCATATGGAGTATTGTTGTTACTTACTAGTGGGAGCAACTAGATACCAGCTTGAACCCTTCGACTCAGTGCAACGACGAGCTATGAGAATTGTCGATTTTTTTTTTATATAACTTAGAATGGCAAACAAGCTGACGACCCACCTGATGGAAAGTGGTAACCGTCGCCTATAGACATGAGCAGTACCATGGACATAACAGAGTATACTGTTTCGCCCATGATACCCCTCATGCATTGCCATTCCTGAGGACTCAGGTGTTATTCCTCTGTACCCAGTAAATTCACGCCATATCCCACCCTTCAAACCGAAACACAGCCATGCAAACACAACTGCTTCACGGTTGAAACACGAATGGACAGAGGTACCCAAGCAATCGTCTTTTGTACAAAGTCTCCCTCTGGTAAAATACAATGATACCATGCTTACAAGTGGTATCGAACCCTTAAGTCTTAGGAGAGATTTTATTTTCTATTCCTCTTTTAAGAGGACCAACCTGATTATGTGAAAGTTTGTATTATGATCGGATTTGAATTCTATTCGAAACATAGATTCGACAGAGAATTCATCCTCACACGCTTGAATCTAAATGGTCACGTACAGTGCGATTTCAAGCTGTGACGTAAGGTCACTATTTACCCTAGAGACTACAGTATGGAGTTCTTCAAAAAAGGTATATTAAAGTATCTTCAGGGTCGACAACGCGCACGTGACACCCCTAGTGTTAAAAGCGTCCATAGACTACAGTAGCCGTTAACCATTAGATAAGCTGTATGCTTGTTACCTTCGTGGGATAAAAAAAAAAACAAATTAAACATATTTGTCATTAGAGGTGCGCTAATAGGTTTGCACATTTGTCGCGTTTTTTTCAACCGTCTTAAAAAAGGGTATTCTCAATTCGGTTGTATTTTTCAGTTTGTTACTTGATAAATCCGTCAGTTATAAACCGATTTTGGCAATTCTTTTTTTATCTGGAAGGTTATAGTTACAGATTAGTCCAATAGTAATTTTATTGAAATCGGTTTAGTAGTTTAGTTTTTAAATTAAAATAACTGGTTTTGTAGTCTTTTTTTTTTTGTGGAATACAATCTTGTTATGTAAGCATGAGTAGTACCAAGTATGTATCTTAGTCTCTTCTACGTACATTTATACATGTGATTTCAATCTGTGTCTATACGTATATAAAGTGGTATTTCGTTTGCAGGTCCAATGTTTAAAAGAACGTCGCGCGGTGCTACCGTACTCTTTGTTGGTGGGTACAAGTTCCTTAAACACTTAACCTGTGGGCTAAAGACAAGGTGGTACTGTGCCTCACATCATCACAAAGGCTGCAAAGCTGTCGTGTATACTATAGACCATGAAATAATCAAGTGTAAAAATGAACACATGCATATGAATATATGTCATCAAGTTTTAGTAGAGTAATAGTGCAAAGAAATATAAATAGGAATAAAGTCATATATACACACACGCATCATATATAAACGCACACGCACACACACATACACACACACACACACACACACACACACACACACACACACACACACACACACACACACACACACACACACACACACACACACACACACACACACACACACACACACACACACACACACACACACACGCGCGCGCGCGCGCGCGCGTACACACACATACATATACAAACGAATGTGCGCGCGCCCACACGAAATGTATTTTCATACCCGCACAAACACACAAATAAAAATGATAAATAAACATTATGACTATTTAGACATATCCTTGTACTCGTAGCTATTTGTGTTATGTTCAAGACTGAAAATATTTTAAGTGGCCATTGTTTTAAATATCGTTTTAAGTAAGGAAATGATTTATTTGATTTTAAATTTTATAGGGTTCAGAACAATACAATTAGAGTCGATCTAGGTTTAATTGTGATGACTATCCCATTAATCCATCCCATTAATGACATACCGAGAAATAGAGTGGTAATATTTATTCATCTATAAACTGTCCCCGAAGAACATGCTTTCTAATGTTATAAATGTAATAGTTTCTTACCTTTTAGCTCCTTAACCGATTATCATTCTTTTTAAATAATTTTCAATTTCTTTTTTATGTTTTTTGCCTCAGAACTTCATTATTTATTAAGTCTTTTTTATGTAAAAAAAAACATACATTTAGAAATCTTATGAGTATTTTAGTTTTAAATTAAAAGTGTGTCCGCCATTATTGAAAAAAGGATTTTTTGTAGAATAAAATCTATTGGTTGGCTGTTAAGGTCTCTTAGGTATATTGCAAAAAGTGCCTTTTAAAAAAATATAGTAGTTTGAAATAATTGTATGTAAACTCCATCTAGGTCCTAAATGGTTAAACTAGACGCTTCCACACTTAGCCTAATGAGTGAACTATACTTATATACTTACATACTAGATGTGTATATAATCCTTTAGCATCATGATTTTATGAAAATGGAATATAAAAAAAAAAAATGAAAAATTAA